AGGAGAGCTGTGCCCCACAGGGTTCTCAGTGGCCGTGTCGGAGGAGAGCTGTGCCCCACAGGGTTCTCGGTGGCCGTGTCAGAGGAGAGCTGTGCTCCACAGGGTTCTCAGTGGCCGTGTCAGAGGACAGCTGTGCCCCACAGGGTTCTCGGTGGCTGATTTTGTCTGGTGTAGACCGCCAGGCCTTTCTTCTGACGTGCCTCTCGGTGAACGTCCACCTTTGTGTCAGAAGCTGAGCACGTTAACTCTTCGCAACACCCAGGGACTCTCATGTAAATTAAATTCCTTGGAAAGATGTATTACTTAGGTCAGCTGCAGGGTTACGAGACTTTACCTAGTTTTGTATCTTGAGTCAAGCTGAACGAAGAAAAATCTACGTTCCTTGGACCAGCGTGTGTTGGCCACTACTGACAAGAACTAGTTGTTATCAAGTCAACCCCAACTCATGGGGACCCCACGGGTGTCAGAGGAGAACCACTTCCATACGGTTTTCAGTGGTTGATTTTTGGACATAGATTGCCAGTCCTTTCTTCCAAGGCACCTCTGAGTGGACTCAACTCTCCAACCTTTCAGTTGGCAGCCGAGCACATTAACCCTGTGCATCACCTGGGACTCCCCTTCATCAACACCTAAGGCGTTTTCTTCAGCTACAACCCTTTTGTTTTCAAATACTGTATTTCAAGAAGATGGATGGTGAATAGATAGGCAACCTTTTTTTTTTGGGCTCGAAATAGTGAAGTTTAATGAGCAAAAGTGCCCCTGAGATTTGCAGAACTGATGGGTAAACAGGTTATTTAAATCAGCCATCCTCATCAGAGAAGGACCTACTTGTGGCTAAATTGCTGATTACAATTTAGTTTGAGAAGATGTTTCCACTTAAATCATTTGAGGCAACGGTCGAAGGAAGTTTCTGAAGTGGATTTTTAAATCTTTGATTGACATCGACTTGATTTTGTTAGCTCTTATGTCATGATAAGCAAGAAGGCACTCAACAGTGAAGTTCCTGCCGCCCTTAAATGTGGATGCCCCCGCCTTGCAGAAGACTCCCTTAAATTAAGTCTCAGGAAATTTTTGATTCTTGGTCCGTTTTTACCAGAAGATTTATTATTGCCACGTGGTCAAGGGTCAGCAAATTTATTGCTGGGGACATTGAGTCGAGTTCACGTTTTAAATGGTACAGTAAAACCTGTGAAAGCCGGGACCTGTGCAAGGCAGAAACCTGTCAGAGAAGGAAAACACACGTTTCCCACTAACAGAGAGGATGGAGCCCTGGTGGCGCAGTGGTTAAGAGCTCAGCTGCTAACGAAAAGGTCACCAGTCTGAATCCACCAGGCGCTCCTTGGAAACTCTATGGGGCAGTTCTACTCTGTCCTCTAGGGTCGCTATGAGTCGGAATCAATTCGACAGCAATAGGTTTGATTTCCTTTTCTTTTTTTTTTGGTTTATGTATGAACTGGAACCCTAGCAGCAATACTGTCTCTTTATCTGGAGCCCTGGTGGCACAGTGGTTAAGAACTACAGCTGCTAACTAAAAGGCTGGCAGTTGGAATCCACCAGCTGCTCCTTGGAAACAAGATAGGGTAGTTCTACTCTCTCCTGTACCGTCACTATGCTTCAGAATTGACTCAACAGCAACAGCAAGGTTTGGTTTGGTTTTATCTATTTATGTATGTATCTATCATCTAGCTCATCTGTCTATCTATCATCTGTCTATCTATCTATCTACTATCTATCTACCTACCTATGTCTCTATTTCTCTGTCTATATATATATACATATATATGTGTGTGTGTGTATATATATACATGGAAACCCTGGTGGTGCAGTGGTTAAGAGCTCAGCTGCTAACCAAGAGGTCAGCAGTTTGAATCCACCAGCTGCTCCTCGGAAACCCTATGGGGCACTTCTACTCTGTCTATAGGGTCACTGTGAGTCGGAATCGACTCAACAACAATGGGTTTCTAATCAACCAGCCACAGAACTCCTTAAACCAACACATATAAGACATTAATTTTGTTACAAAACACAGATATAGGAGCCCTGGTGGCTCAGTGGTTAAGAGCTCGGCTGCTAACCAAAAGGTTGGCAGTTTGAATCCAGCAGCCGCTCCTTGGAAACCCTATGGGGCAGTTCTACTCTGTCCTATGGGGTCGCTGTGAGTCGGAACGGACTCGACGGCAATGGGCGCAGGCAACAGAGAGGATAGAAAAGGGGTACGAGCGCGCCCTGTCAAAGGCGGAAAACTTTCGGGAGCCAGACGAAGAAGGCAGTCCCAAGGAGTTCTGGCTCTCACAGCCTTCACTGTATTATCGCTTTTATTTGTGTGGAGCTGGGAGGAACCTCGCTGGCGTAACGGTGAAGCGCTCGGTTGCTAACAGAAAGGTTGGTGCTGCAGACCCACTCAGTGGCTCTGTGGGAGAAAGACCTGGCAGTCTGCTCCCGTAAAGATGACAGCCTAGAAAACCCTGTGGGGCAGTCCCACTCTGTCCCCTGGGGTTGCTATGAGTCAGAACCCACTTGACGGTACCTGACAACAACAGGTGCTACTTTTTAAGGACGAGTAAACCTTCAGTGCGTTGCTGCTGTTGTTGCCTGTTGCCGAGTCAGCCCCCGACTCACGGTGACCCCACGCGCTACGGAGCGGAACACCACCCGGGCCTGCGCCATCCCCACAATCGGTTGCGGATGGGAGCCTGTGATCCATAGGGTTTCCACGGGTGATACTCAGAAGGAGATGCCACGCCTTTCACTCCCCAGCTCTCTCCACTTTGCAGGTCAGCCCAGGTGGCGTCGGGGAGCTGTATGCTAGCTCAGTGTTGGGTGCCAGTGAGCCCCCACCTGTTCGGGGCCCCCCAGAGAAGACCACGGTGGTGGACGATACCCCGCCCTGCCCCACAGGGTGGCATCCGGAAGACGTGAGTACCTCACCCACACCGCGTGGCGGAAGTCATACCCTGACCCCCAGCGGGAGAACGCAGAGGGGACCCTCACAGCCCCCTGGGGAGGGACAAGGCCAGAGAAGAGCTGGTCCCCAGGGTTTCTTTGACATTAGGGGCTCTTGCCTTCATTTGAGGGGCCCTGGGGCCACAGTGGTTAAGCATTTGGCCGCTAACCAAAAGGTTGGCAGTTCAAATCCATCAGCTGCTCCTTGGAAACACTATGGGGCAGGTTTACTCTGTCCTATAGGCCGTTGGACAGTCGCACATTGTGATAGGCTGAATCACGGCCCCCTAAGAGTATCCAAGGAGTCCCTGGGTTGTGCAATTGGTTAAGCACTCAAAAACCAACCAAAAGGTTGGTGGTTCGCATCCACCCACAGGCACCTCAGAAGAAAGGCCTGGTAATCTGCTTCTGAGAGGTCACAACCATTGAACCCTGTGGAGCACAGTTCTGCTCTGCACACACGGGGTTGCCAGGAGTCAGAATCAACTCGACGACAGTGGGTTTGGTTTGTGAGAGTGTCCAGGTCCCAATCCTTGGAGTCCGTGAATATGGTGCCTCACCTGGCAAAGGGGACTGACTTTGCAGATGGGATTAAGTGAGGGCTCTTGAGACAGAAGATGATCCTGGATTATCTGGGTGGGCCCAGTGTCATTGTCAGGACCAGCACCGTTGCCCGGCAAGTCGATTCTGAGTCATGGCGCCCCCGTGTGTGTCAGAGTAGAACTGCACTCCATAGGTAGGCTTTTCAGTGGCTGATTTTTCAGCAGTAGCTTGCCAGACCTTTCTTCTGAGGCACCTGAGTGGACTCAAACCTCTGACCGTCCTGTTAGCAGCTGAGACCCTTAGCTGTTTATACCACTCAGGGTCTCCAAACCAGCTGCCATCGAGTTGACCCTGACTCGTGGCGCCCCGATGCGTGTCAGAGGAGAACTGAGCTCCACAGGGTTTTCAGTGGCTGCTTTTTCAGAAGGAGATCACCAGGCCTTTCTTCTGAGGTGCCCTCCAACTTTTTCTGTTAGCAGCCAAGTGTATTAACTGCACCATTCAGGGATTCCTGAACAGTTGTCTTATACTGACTCATGGCGACCCCATACGTGTCAGAGTACAACTGTGCTCCATAGGATTTTCAGAAGCAGATCACCAGGCCTTTCTTCTGAGGCACCTCTGGGTAGACTTCAACCTTTAACCTGTCGGTTAGCAGGGATCACAATAGAGAGTCCTGGACAGGGCGGGAGAAAAATGTAGAAGAAAACTCAAATTCGCCAAAAAAGACCAGACTTACTCATCTGACAGAGACTGGAGGAACCTCCAAGACTATGGCCCCAGGATACCCTGCTAACTCAGAACTGGAGCCACTCCCAAAGTCCATGTTTCAGACAAAGATTAAACAGGCTTATAAAACAAACTGTACCACACGTGACGAACGTGCTCCTTAGTTCAATCCAATGTGCAACTCCTGTCCAAAAGCAAAGATGAGAAGGCAGGAAGGGACAGGAAAACTGGACGAATGGACACTGGGAACCCAGGGTGGAGAGGGGGAGAGTGCTGACACATTGCAGGGATTGCAACTGATGTCACGAAACCATTTGTGTATAAATCTTTGAATGAGAAACTAATTTGGCTGTAAACTTTCACTGAAAGCACACACACACACATACACACGCACAAAAAAAAATCCTGTAGGGCACAGTTCTACTCTGACACACATGGGGTCTCCACGAGTCAGAGACAGCTCAACAAGGAGCAGGTTTTGATTTCATTATCCACCCTGCACCTCCTACTTAGTCTTTGTCATTATGCGGTATTGCTGCCACCTACTGGCCATTCATTGAATTTCTGACTGTGGTTTCTTTTTTGGGGGAGCTAGAACCCAGGCCCTGTCCTTGGGTGATGCAAACAGTTTGAGCTGGACTACTAATCTAAACGTTGGAGGTTCGAGCCCACCCAGTGATGCCACGGAAGAAATGCCTGGAAATCTGATTCCATTAAGATTACAGCCAAGAAAACTCTATGGAACAGTTCTGGTCTATCACACATGGGGTCGCCATGAGTCAGAATCAATTGGGTGGCTACGGGTTATTTTGGTTCAGAATCCAGGCCAAAAGAGACTTGATTTTCCAAATTACTATACCTGTGGAGGAGCCCTGGTGGAGCAGTGCTTAAGAGCTCAGCTGCTAACCAAAAGGTCGGCAGTTCGAATTCACCAGGTGCTCCTTGGAAACCGTACAGGGCAGTTCTACTCTGTCCTATCGGGTCGCTATGAGTTGGAATTGACTTGATGGCAACAGGTTTGGTTTTTTTTGTTTTTATACCTGTGGAACAGCGGGATGCTGGGACAACTTATTCCAACTTTTGTATACATAATATGGCAGTGCCAAGGACAAGGTGACTATTTTCAAAAATAAAGCTGAATGTCCAATGCATTTTCCATGTAAATGAATGTGGCAAAAAGAAAAATATTTACAATTTAGTATCTTCTCAGCCAAGTGTTTTGCAACGTGCTGGGTAAAGAAATGCTGTTCTTAATGAAAATATTATGGTTGCCACTTACGATACTGGTAGTTGTTTTTATTGCTGTTCATAGTGCATCTTGTTTTATTTGTAATAATTTTTAAAAAATTTTGTTGTGTTTTCGGTGAAGGTTTACACAGCAGTTTAGGTTTCCAGTCAACAATTTCTACACAAGTTGTTCAGGGACATTGGTTACATTCTTCACAATGCGTGAACATTCTCATTATTTCCATTCTGGTTGTTTCATTTCCATTCATCTAGTTTCCCTGCCCTCTTACATTCTCATCGTTTTAAAGTCATTGTTGACTGTCTGGTCTCATGTAGATGATTTGATAGTATACAACTTACTTATTAATTCTGCTGTTGATGGACATTTTATAGCTTTGGTTAATATGAATAATCCAAAGAAAAGACCAATCCCTGGAAATGGACGTCATGGTTGGTAAAGCAGAGGGTCAGCGAAAACGAGGGAAACCCTCCATGAGATGGATTGACACAGTGGCCTCAACAGTGGGCTCGAGCATATCAACGATCATGAAGATGGCACAGGGCTGGGCAGTGTTTTATTCTGTTTGTTGTACATGGGGTCACCATGAGTTGTGGCTGACTCGATGACAACTGGTTATGGGTTTACTGGTTGTCTTAGTCATCTAGTGCTGCTATAACAGAAAGACCTCAAGTGGATGGCTTTAACAAACAAAAATTTATTCTCACAGTCTAGGAGCCTACAAGTCTGAATTCAGGGTGCCAGCTCCAGGAGAACCCTTTCTCTCTCTGTCGGTTCTGGGGGAAGGTCCTTGTCATCAGTCTTCCCCTGGTCTAGGAGCTTCTCAGTGCAGGGACTCCGGGTCCAAAAGACATGCTCTGCTCCTAGTTGTTCTTTTTTGGTGGTAGGTAGTCCCTCTCCTCTCTACTTGCTTCTTTCTTTTATATCTCAAGAGATTGATTCAAAATACAACCTAATCCTATAGAGTCCTGCCTCATTAACATAACTGCCTCTAATCCTGCCTCATTAACATCATAGAAGTTAGGATTTACAACACGTAGGAAAATCACATCAGATGACAAAATGGCAGACAACCACACAATACTGGGAATCGTGGCCCAGCCAAGTTGACACACATTTTGAGGGGACACAATTCAGTTCATAACACTGGTTCGGCCCTACAGGGCTGCGGAAAACTCTTCTCAGTTTCTCAGCCTTTAGCTGCCACAAGAAGAAATGAGCTGCCAAGTTTCAGGCTTGGCTCTTCTGCTTGTCCTTGGGATCTTGACTTGCAAGTTTTTGAGTCCCTGGCAGCTCTCCCACGCATCTCAATATATATATATGTATGCATATTTTTTTTGTCCAGCCTTTTTAGTTGTACTTGGTGGGAGGGTTAGTCTATAAGAAGCCATTTAGCCAATTACAGAAAGTGGAAAAATCCTTCTTCCGTTCTTGAGATGATGGATATATGTATATTTTTAGCCTTTACCACCTCCGGCTGCCATCACTTTTGCAACTTTGTAGCCAATAATGCAAAGTAGTGCTTCCCTGTTATTAGTTCTGAATGAATCCCTGGGTGGTGTATTTCAGCATTCCGCATCCATGACTTTTCCACATCCCTGCATCATTTGGGGTTATTATGTCCTCTCTCAGCTTTAGTATTTCCAAATGGAGAGTACTTGTGCTTTTCAGCTGCTCTCCGTATTTCAGCCTCTCTCTCCTTTGTGCCGAGAATCTTTCTCTGCAAGATTTCCCAGTTTACAGTCTCTTCTTTCAAGATGACCTGACCTTCAGGCTTGCCTTTCAGGGGATGAATCTGTGAAGAGCTTATTACCTTCGGGTAAAAATAAATGCAGTTTGTGAAAGTCAGATTTTACATACGCACATTCATGTTGTGATGGCGGTTGGTTGCCGTTGAGTCAATTCTGACTCATGACGACCCCATGTGTGCAGAGTAGAGCTGTGTTCCACAGGGTTTTCAAAGCGGTGACCTTTCGGAAGCAGATTGCCAGGCCTTTCTTCTGAGGTGCCTCTGGGTGGGTTATGAACCATCAAACTTCCAGGTAGTAGTTGAGCGCTTAACTGTTTGCACCACCTAGGGACTCCTACACACACTGATATGCCTTCCAAAAATGATTTTAAAGCCTGATTCTGCACTCTAAAAACCCACTGCCATCGAGTCCATTCCAACTCAGGGTGACCCCATGTGTGTCAGAGTAGAACTGCGCTCCGTAGGGTTTTCAGTGACTGATTTTTCAGCAGTAGATCCCCAGGCCTTTCTTCTGAGGCACCACTGGGTGGACTTGAACCTTCAACCTTTTGGTTAACAGTTGAGCATGTTAACTATTTGTACCACATATAGCAGTATATATATACTCTATCAACCAGTTGTCGTCAAATCAATTCCAACTCATGGCGCCCCCGTGTGTGTCATAGGGTTTTCAAGGCTGTGACCTTTCGGCAGCAGATAGCCAGGCCTTTCTTCTGAGGTGCCTGTGAGTGGGTTCAAACCACCAACCTTTCGGCCACTGGTCGAGCGCTTACTGTTTGTGCCACCCAGGGATTTCTACGCACATTGTTACACTTTCCAAAAATGATGTTAAGGTCTGACTTTGCGCCGTACTGTTGTTAAATTGTCGTTTCTTAGATGGTGCTTGGCTACCATTACCGACCGCTCTGAAAGGGGTCACGATAGAGGGTCCCAGACAGGAGAAAAATATAGAACAAAATTCAAAGTTACAAAATAAAAAGATTAGACTTACTGGTCTGACAGAGACTGGAGGAACCCCGAGACTATGGCCCCCCAAACACCCTGCTAACTCAGAACTGAAGCCCACCTTCAGCCAAAGACTAGACAGGCCTATAATATAAACAATAACACTGGCTGGCACAAATGGTTTTGCTTGACTACTAACCTAAAGGTTGGTGGTTTGAACCCACCCAGCAGTGCCATGGAAGAAAGGCCTGGCAATCTGCCCCTGTAAAGGTTACAGCCCAGGAAACCCTATGGAGCAGTTCTATTCTGTCATGTGAGGTTGTCACGAGTTGGAGTTGTCTCCACGGCAACGGTGTTTGTTTTCATCCAGCATGGTGCTAGTTTTGTGCTTCCCTTGGGAGAACCGAGGGAGCATTGGTGGCGCAGTGGTTAAAGCACTCGGCTGCTAACCAAAAGGTCGGCGGTTCGAACCCCCCAGCTGCTCCACGGGAGAAAGATGGCGGCAGTCTGTAGGGTTGGTATGAGTCGGAATCGACTTGTCGGCAACGGGTTTGGTTTGGTTTTAGAAGAACTGAGAAGAGCCAGTAGGGTTGTTTTCAGCAGGGTTTCATTGTCTCGTGAAACCCTCGTTGAGGAAGGTGTCACGGATTGAATTGAGTCCCCCAAAAATGTGTGCATCCGTTTGGCTGGGTCATGATTCCCAGTATTGTATGATTATGTAATCTGATGTGATTTCCTTATGTATTGTAAACTCTATCACTATGATGAGGTTATACTGATGAGGTATACAAGATTGGATAGTGTCTTAATCCAATCTATTTTGAGATATAAAAGACAGAAGTGAGCAGAGACACCGGGGAACCTCATACCACCAAGAAAGCAGTGCCGGGAGCAGAGTGCATCCTTTGGACCTTAGGTTCCTGCGCTGAGGTGCTCCCAGACCAAGGGAAGATTGATGACACGGACCTTCCTCTAGAGCTGACAGAGAAAGCCTCCCCCCGGAGCTGGATGCCCTGAATTTGGACTTGTAGCCTACTGGACTGTGAGAGAATAACCTTCTCTTTGTTAAAGCCATACACTTGTGGTATTTCTGCTATAGCAGCACTAGATGACTAAGACAGAAGGCTTAGGGGGCTTGTTCCTCACCTGGCCCGTGGGGAAAGAGAAAGTAGGCAGGGCATTCCTCTCCCCATTCCCAGCCTGGCGGTGACCCCCAGGACACCTGCTCCATTCCATTGGGAGAATCAGCCATGTGGCCGTACTTAGGACTCTGTGGAGGCTGAGAAGCAGACTCAGGTGTGTGCCCAGAAGGGGGCGAACACACATCTCAGAGCGCCTGTCGCTCCCTGATGTCGTGGTGTTGTTGGTTGCTGGTGAGTTCAGTCCGACTCATGGCGACCCCATGTGTTACAGAGTAGAACTGTGCTCCAAACGGTTTTCTGGGCTGTCATCTTTACAGAAGCAGATCGCCAGGCCTTTCTTCCACGGCACTGCTGCGTGGGTTTTAACCAGCAACCTTTCACGTAGCGGCCGAGCGGAAACCATTTGTGCATCATGCCTCCTTTGTGTCGTGGGGGCAGAAATAAATAAACGGAGTGTTTTAGGTTGAGCTGCGTTTATTGGCATGAAGGTTGCTGCCGACCTGATTTTATTTAACCTGCCTTTGCTCTTTTTTCTTTATAACAGGTGATAGGTGGCCCAGATGAGATTTCTGCTGGAGTAACGCGTGGCCCCACTTCACCACCCTCCCCCGAATTCTCAGATGTCACAAAGGCCGAAACGCCCTCGGTATATCTCCTTGGTACTACTTACACACGTCTGTCTCTCTCCTTGCTTGTTACATCCTCGCCTTCTCTATGCCCGTTAAATACCAAGGAAGGTGTCGCATCAATTTTTCTGTATCCTGTGTTCTTTCTGACTGGCCTGTCCTCAGAGAATAAATTTGTGCTGTCCTTCATCCGTTTCTTGTTATCCACGAGGACAAGGTAAACTGATTGTGCATTCACAGAGTCCCTGGGCGGTGGAAATGGTGAACGCGCTCAGCTGCTAGCAAAAAGGTTGGAGGTTTGAGTCACTCAGAGGTGCCTCAGAAGAAAGGCCTGGTGACCTTCTTCCAAAAGAATGAGTCACTGAAAACCCTGTGGAGCACAGTTCTACTCTTGACTCAGATAAGGTCGCCATGAGTCAGAGTTGACTCCGGGGCAGCTGGTTTGGATTTTTTGGTTTTTATCTATTCAAACTTTTTTTACCCCTCATATTATTATTGTATTTCATGCTGGTCATCTGGCCATTTGCTCCTTAACTTTAGGAAGAATTAGAAAGTGAAAAGATGTTAACACCAATATGGCATGTTTATCTCACTTAATTTTTTTTTTTTTTAATTGTTGGTGGGATTTTTCATCAATGTCTAGAATCCGTATTTAAGGGTGATGAAGTTGAATTTTTTTTTTTTAAACCGTCACCCTCACGAATCTGGGCTTCCATTACCACACCCTGTCTGATGACGGACTCTATAGATACCCTTTCACTCTTAGTGAAAACCAGTTTAAAAAAAAAAAAAAAAAGTTGCCATGGAGTTGATACCAACTCATGGTACCCCCATGTGTGTTGGGGTAGAACTGTGCTCCACAGGGTTTTCAGTGGCTGATTTCTCAGAAGTAGATCACCAGGCCTTTCTTCTGAGGCACCTCTGGGTGGACTTGAACCTCTGACCTCTCTGTTACTATCTGAGCACATTCACTGTTTGCCCTACCCAGCGACTCCCCTAGACACATGGTCATGTCTATGTTATGGAGCGTAGCTGACCCATTGAGCCACTGCTATCAGATAACATCCACTGCCTTTTCTACTTCAGATGTTGCTTTTCATAGATCCTCTTTTTCCTTTGAACATCCAAACTGTTCTCGGAAGATGAGTAGTATCAGACCCCCAGTCTTAGTCATCTAGTGCTGCTATAACAGAAATACCACAGGTGGATGGCTCTAACAAACAGAAATTCATTCTCTCATAGTTTAGGAGGCTAGAAGTCCGAATTCAGGGTGCCAGCTCCAGGGGAAGCCTTCCTCTCTGTGTTGGCTCTGGGGGAAGGTCCTTGTCATCAATCTTCCTTCCCCTGGTCTAGGAGCTTCTCAGCACAGGGACCCCGGGTCCAAAGGATGCACTGTGCTCCTGGCTCTCCTTTCTTGGTGGTTATGAGTTCCTTCTCCTCTCTGCTTGCTTCCCTTTCCTTTTATCTCTTGTAAGATAAAAGGTGGTGCAGACTACACCCCAGGGAACTCCCTTTACATTGGATCAGTGATGTGACCTGCACAAGGGTGTTACAATCCCACCCTAATTCTCTGTCACCAAAGGCAGAGATGATGATTTATAACACATAGGAAAATCACAAAATGGAGGACAACCACACAACATTGAGAATCATGGCCTAACCAAGTTGACACATACTTTGGGGGAACACAATTCAATCCATGACACCCTTCCCCCACCCCCAAAAAAAATTGCAGTCAAGTGGACTCTGCCTTATGGTACCCCCATGTGTGTCAGAGTGGAACTACACTTCATAGGGTTTTCAATGGCTGATTTTTCAGAAGCAGATCACCAGGCCTTTCTTCCGAGACAGCTCTGGGTAGACTTGAACCTCCAACCTTTTGGTTAGCAGCCGAACACGTTGACTGTTTGTACTCCCAGGGGCGAGCTTTGATAAACTTCCTAAAAACTTTCAGCATCTCATCTTGCATAAGACGCGGTGTGAGGCTCAGGAAAAGCTAGGAGTGGTGCAGCAAAGCTTTTTTAACCTCCCCAGAGAAGACAAGTTAGCACAGCCGGTTAATTTGGGGGGAAAATCTCTCTGTCTTTTGGGTTGGTGATCCCTGGGTGGTGCAAATGATTAACACACTTAGCTGCTCACCGAAAGGTTGGAAGTTGGAGTCCGCCCAGAGGTGCCTTAGGAGAAAGGCCTGGCAATCTACTTCCAAATGTCACATGTACTAAAAAACTTTATGGGCGCGGTTCTACTCTGACCCACGTGGGGTGGCTGTGAGTCGGGGTGGGCTCCAGGAGGACTGGTGCCCGGGGTTGATACAAAGGCCCCGGAGCCCGATGCAGGTTCATGATGGAGCCGTTATGTCTTTAGCAGCCAGGGGACACAGCTGAGAGCGGCCCAGCGGAGGACAAGTTGGAACCCAGGCAGGAGACCCCTGTGGAAGCCACAAAGGACCCAACTCCGCAGGACGCATTGGAGGTGGTATCCAAGCCCCCTGCCCCTCCTGATGGAATCTCGTTGCTATCCGCGCTTCTTGGGGCTGCCAGCATGCTTCCTGCGCTAACTCCATTTCAGCTTTGCTCGATTGAAGTAAGAGCCCGCCCACCTCTCTGGGCACCCACTTTCCGTCCTGTCATCTGTCCAGCCTTTCCCTGGGGCGGTTGGTCACTGTGTCTCCTGCCTGAGTCTCTGACCATCCTGCACGCGCTCTCCCTGCAAGGCTTCTCTGCACAGGTTATTCACGCGGAAGCAGACTCACCGCCATTCCTTTTCTGAAATGAAGCGAATCCGAGCAGTGAAACCGGGAGGTGAACGTTTCGATCCCAGTTGCGCCCTCAGTGGTCTCGTCTTTGAGAACGCAGTGAAAGACGCGTGGTTCCTGCCCTTTGCTCTTACGGGGGTTCCTGTCTCAAACTTCACTTGGTCGGCTGATGCAGAAAGCAACGGCGAATGGCTTCTTTACTCCTTAACAGTGACCTCGCGATGCACTGTTAAGTCATAGTAAATAAAAAATAGCTAAAATTACCGGTGGGAAAAGTGGAGCCCCTGGGTGGCGCCAACAGTTAAGCACTCGGCTGTTAACTGAAAGATTGGAGCTTTGCGTCCACCCAGAGGCGCCTCGGAAGAAAGGCCTGGCAATCTGCTTCCTAAACATCAGCCATTGAAACCCCCATGGAGCACAGTTCTGCTCTGACACAGGTGGGGTCGCCGTAAGTCGGAGTTGACGCGATGGGAACTGGTTTTATGACTGTTCCACTGAGCTGCTCAGAGAACAGTGTGGCCAGGTTTCAACTCACTGAGGGAAGGAAGATTTCCTTAAAGCCTTTTCAACAACTGCAGCTGGTAAGGTAGTGTGGGAGGAGCCCTGGTGGCGCAACGGTTAAGCGCCCAGCTGCTAACTGAAAGGTCAGCGGTTCAAACCCACCAGCAGCTCCTCAGGAGAAAGGCCTGGCGATCTGCTCCTGTAAAGATTACAGCATAGAAAACCCTCTGGGGCAGTTCTACTGTGTCACGTGGGGTTACTATGAGTCAAAAATCGACTGGACGGCGCCCGACAACGAAACAACATGCAGAACTTGACTTGCGACAAAGCAGCATCCACTTGAAGACCTATCCAAAATGGATACTTGGACATGGATGTGCAGGATACCCAACCAACCAACCCGTTGCCGTTGAAGTTGATTCCGACTCATAGCTACCCAACAGCAAGCGGCTGGTGGATTCCAACTGCTGACCTTTTACTTAGCAACTGAAGTCTTAACCACTGCGCCACCAAGGCTCCAAGCTACAGAATAACCCACCAGAAATCAATTTATATTCTCCGAGTACAAAGAGGAATCACGGCGGACTTCGCTTTGACAGATCCGCCCTGTAGTAGATGGAGACCTTGGTCAAGCTGGTTGAATTCCCCCAATATCTGTGAGATAAAGACGGGGTCCCCACCTCAGAGAGCTGGGGGGATAGGTCGGATAAGCGGGCTGGAGGAAACCCTACTTAGGGCCTGACCCGTAAGCTCGGCTCCGGTCCTACCGCCGGTCTGTTCCCAGCGGATGAGTCTGAGAGCATCGCAGCTTGCCAGGCGTTGCCATACCCATGGAATCCCTCCCCAGCGCGCCCTGCTCCCGCGCTGGGAAGCCCACCTGCCGTAGTCGTCGGGCCGTTTAACCGGGCGCTTGAACATTCTTGTCCTCCTGCGTCATGGAGCCTCCCAGACTAGTATCTCGTTTAACAACCTGTTAGACAAAGCTGACGGCCCGTTGGTTTGTTGGATTCTTCTTCGCGTCACAGCTGGTTCAGTCGCCACGCTGTTTTGTGACGAGGCTAAGAGGGCCGCGGGGTGCACCTTCGATTCCCGAATTTTCACCATGAGTCCAACTTAACTTAAACCATGACTCTAAATCCATATTTCTTTGTTGTTGTTGTTAAGTGCTGTCGAGTCGGTTCTGACTCCTAGCGACCCTATGTACAGCAGACCGGAACGCTACCCAGTCCGGCGCCATCCTCACAGTATTTGTTATGATTGAGCCCATTGTTGCAGCCACTGTGTCAGTCCATCTTGTCGAGGGTCTTCCTCTTTTTCGCTGACCCTCTACTTTACCAAGTATGATGTCATTCTCTGGGGACTGGTCCCTCCTGATAACATGTCCAGAGCATGTGAACGAAATCGCTCCATCCTTGCTTCTAAGGAACATTCTGGCTGTACTTCTTCCAAGACAGACGTGTTCGTTCTTTTGGCAGTCCATGGTATATTCGCTGTTCTTCACCAACACCACAGTTCAAAGGCGAGAATTCTTCCATCTTCCTTATTCATTGTCCAAAGTATGTGAGATGTAGTCTTGTCATCCTTGCTTCCAAGGAGCACTCTGGCTGTACTTCTTCCAAGACAGACTTGTTCGTTCTTCTGGCAGTCCATGGTGTATTCAATATTCTTTACCGACACCATAATTCAAAGGCATCAATTCTTCTTCGGTCTTTCTTATTCATTGTCCAGCTTTTACAATGCATATGAGGCAATTGAAAATACCTTGGCTTGAATCAGGTGCACCTTAGTCCTCAAAGTGACATCTTTGCTTTTCAACACTTTAAAGAGGTCTTTTGCAGCAGATTCGCCCAATGCAATACGCCATTTGATTTCTTGACAGCTGCTTCCATGGGCATTGATTGCGGACCCAAGTGTAATGAAATCCTTGACTTCAGTCTTTTCTCCATTTATCATGAGCATAGTGATTAAGAGCTTGGCTGTTAACCAAAAGCTTGGCAGTCTGAATCCACCAGGAGCTCCTTGGAAACCGTACAGGGCAGTTCTGCTCGGTCCTATAGGGGTGCTAGGAGTCAGGATCGACTTGACAGCAGTGGGTTTTTCCCTACTTCTTAGGTGGGGAGAAACGTGATGTTAATCTGAAACAGGCAATTTTTTTTTTTTTAACTCTTGCTATTTCCTTAATCAGTGGGATGGCTGTATTTGGATAGAATGTACAATGGTCTGTGTAGAACGCAGAATCTTAAATGTATAAACTCTTGAAAATACTGTAGCAAAAAATAAGCGGCAAAATGAGTATGTGCTCAGTGGCACAGGAGCTGTAATTCACATAGCTAGTGTCCAACACCAGTTACGTGATCAGCTGCTAACTGAAAGGTCGGCGGTTCAAACCCACCCAGCGGCTCTGCAGAAGAAAGGCCTGGTGGTCTGCTTCTGTAAAGATCACAGCCTAGAAAACCCTCTGGGAGCAGTTTTACTCTGTCACACAGGGTGGCTATGAGTTGAAATTGATTCAACAGTACCTGACAACAACAGTCTCTTTGTAAGGAGCCCTGGTGGTGCAGCGGTTAAGCGCTTGGCTGCTAACCTAAAGGTCAGCGGTTTGAACCCACCAGTGGCTCCACAGGAGAAAGCCCTGGCGATCTGCTCCCATAAAGACCACAGCCTAGAAAACCCTATGGGGCAGTTCTACTCTGTCACACGCGGTCGTCAAGAGTCGGAGTCAACTCGACAGCACAAAACAACAGTGTCCGGCACTCACCATCTGGGCAGAATCTTTGTCAATTTTAGCATCAGAGATGTATGTATATGTGTGAGTCTGTTATTACTGCTAATCTGTATTTTTGAAAGTCTTTTTCTAATGCTTAGTAAGAGGTTTTTAAAACAAATGTGTTTATTTTTGTTGACTCTCTTGAAAACTAAAGTAAGGTGTGTGTGTTGAACACTTGCGTATTTTATATATCATATCTTGAGCCCTGGTGGCGCAGTGGTTGAGAGCTCGGTTGCTAACCAAAAGGTCAGCCATTCGGATCCACCAGCCACTCCTTGGAAACCCTATGGGGCAGTTCTGCTCTGTCCTAGAGGGTCGCTATGAGTCGGAATCGACTTGACGGCAATGAGTTTTTATCACTTAAGAAGGCAGAACCCTGCCATTGAAAGGGAAAATTATTTAACTTATCTTGCCGTCCAGCTCCAAACAGTACAGGTTTAATTTACATGAGGTGAATATTTTCTTCATTTAACATAGCTTCATTATTCACTGTGATACAAAATATTGAGGTTTTGGTGGGTGGAAATATTAAATCAATTGTGTGTGTGCGTGTGTGCGTGTGCACAAAATGGTTAATCCTGTAGAAACTGGGAGGTGGGGCAGCTGTTACGACTAATTGCAAGATTTTTTTAAAAATATTTTTTAATTGTAGTTTAGATGAAGGTTTACAGAACTAGCTTCTAACAGTTAGTACACACATTGTTTTGGGACATTGGTTAACAACCCCACAACATGTCAACACTCTCCCTTCCTTCTCGGCCTTGGGTTCTCTATTACCAGCTTTCCTGTCCCCTCCTGCCTTCTCGTCCTTGCCCCTGGGCTGGTGTGCCCCATTAGTCTCGTTTTGTTTTATGGGGCTGTCTAATCTTTGGCTGAAGGGTGAACCTCAGGAGTGACTTCAGTACTGAGCTAAAAGGGTGTCTAGGGGCCGTACTCTCAGGGTTTCTCCAGTCTCTGTCAGGCCAGTAAGTCTGGTCTTTTTTTGTTGTTGTTAGAATTTCGTTCTACATTTTTCTCCAGCTCTGCCCAGGGCCCGCAACTGACAGGGATTTTCTTTTTCTTTTATTGTTGTGCTTTAAGTGAAAGTTTACAATTCAAGTTAGTCTGTTATACAAAAATTTATACATACATTGTTATGGGACCCTAATTGCTCTCCCTATACTGTGACAGCACACTCCTTTCCACCTCGGATTTCCCATGTCCATTCAACCAGCTCCTGACCCTCTCTGCCTTCTCCTCTCACCTCTGAACAGGAGCTGCCCGTTTAGTCTCATGTACCTACTTGAGCTAAGAAGCACACTCTTCACAAGTATCATTTTATGTCCCACAGTCCAGTCCCATCCCCGTCTGAAGAGTTGGCCTCGGAAATTGTTTTAGTTCTGGGCCCATAGAGATTCCAGGGGCCATGTTTTCCAGGGTTCTTCCAGCCTCAGTCAGACCATTAAGTCTGGTCTTCTTACTAGAATTTGAGTTCTGCACCCCACCTTTCTCCTGCTCCAGCAGGGACTCTCTGTTGTGTTCCCTGTCAGGGCGGTCATTGGTGGTAGCCGGACACCATCTAGTTCTTCTGGCCTCGGGCTGATGCAGTCTCTGGTTTATGTGGCCCTTTTTGACAGGGATGTTTTTATAAAAAATAATAAATATCTGCTGGAACACCCCACAGAAGTTTTATAGACAGTCACTTTGGTGTCACCCCATCTGACAGTGTCACCCAGTGTGATCCGCACCCCCCGCACTCCCTCGTGACACCACTGCTTATGGAATGGATTAGTGAGCCAGTGGATGCTGTAGACAGCGCCCATTCAATGGCGGACAGCGCCCACAACCGTCTCCTGTTGGCTTGTCTCCCGCAGGTTGACCTGGCCGTGTCTCTCTCCGAGATCTCCATCCAGGAAAAGGTTAGGGAACCGAGTCCGGAGGAAGAGCGGAGGCAATGGGAAGACGGACGTATCGACTACCTGGGCAGGGACGCCTTTGCTCGCATTCAGGAGAAGCTGGACCAGTTTCTGCAGTGATCTCTGCGGTTGTGTGGGTGTGTTGTGTGGTGTGTGTGGTCAGACAATGCCTTGTTGCCATGGTTTTGTTACAGGAACGTCTCCCATCCTTCTAAACAGAAACGCTGTTAAACCATGTGCTTCTATTTATGGTCGACCAACTTGAATCACATCGGAGATTAAAAAAAAAACAAAACAAAAAAGCCAGCCCTCTGCTGATCCAAGCTACAAACAACTGCAGGCTTTCCAGAAAGACCAAGCCCTTCTTTTCACCTTGTGGGTAAAGGGAGCAGGAATGAGCTTCCAGCAGACCCTCGGCATGGTTAAATGCTTGACTGCTAACTGAAAGGTTGGAGGTTTGAACCCACCCAGAGGTGCCTCGGAAGAAAGTCCTGGCAGTCTACTTCTGAAAGATCAGCCACTGAAAACCCTGCAGAGCACAGTTCTACCCTGACACACACGGGGGCGCCGTGCGTCGTAATCCACTCCCTGGGGACTAACAACAACAAGAGTTCCTTAGCAACAGTCTCTGCTCCTGCCAGAAGGAACTCTGAAAGATATCCCTGCACTGGTGCTACAATATGTACTCTCAAAGGAGCCTCTGGGTGGTGCACATGGTGAATGTGCTCTGCTGCTCACCGAAAGTTTGGCGGTTCGTGTGCACCCAGGAAGAAAGGCCTGCCGATCTACTTCTGAAAAATCATCCATTGAAAACCCACGGAGCACAGTTCTACTCTGACACTCATGGGGACGCCGTGAGTCAGAGATGACTTGATGGCAGCAGGTTTGGTTTGTTTATGTGTGGTTAAACATTTCACTGCAAATCTCCTTCCGCCACTAAGCTACTGAGACTTGTCCATGTATTCTGCATGTTGAGAACCTTAGGGAATAAAATGTCCGTTCCTTTAGGGCTCGGTTAGCATTCAGACATCCTCAGACTGACGCTCATCTAGACTTGGTGTCCTCTGTGAAATCTAACGGGATTTCCTGGTGCCTTTGATGGGAACTCAGCTTGGGAAATGCCAGAGGAATTTGGAAGGATGATTTTAACAAGCATGGCGATGTCATCTCTTCTAAACCAATTTACTTCCTGGTTTAGAAGAACCCAGGGGCTTACTCCAAATGATTTTGAGCGCGTCCCCTGGTGGCACGAAATGGTTAAACACTCGGCTGCTAACCAAAAAGTTCGAGGTTTGAGTCACCCAGAAGAGCCTCGGAAGAAAGGCCTGGCAATCTACTGCTGGGAAATCACCTATTGAAAACCCTGTGGAGCACAGTTCTACTCTGACACACATGGGGTCGCCATGAGTCGGAATTGACTCAAACAGCAACTGGTTTTAGTAGGATTGCTGTATTTTTACTAAAATAACGCAGCAACCTTTTTTAAAAAAAAAAAAAACTGGCATAGCAGCGCCTACGAAAATAGGGAGAGGGCACAGCCCGCAAATAAATGCAGAAGGCGTGCGTTATCTGCAGAAAAATACAGTATGTGGTGTAGTTTGCCTCATCAGAACTTCATTTTTCATTACACCACCCAGAGGCACCTTGGAAGAAAGCCCTGGCAATCTGCTTCCAAAAACTCAGCATTGAAAACCCTGTGGAGCTCAGTCCTACTCTGACACACATAGGGGGCACCATGAGTCAGACTCGACTCCACGGCAATGGGTTTGGTGGGTTTTTTTTTTTTTTTTTGGTTGTTTTGTTTTTAATTTCAAGCAACAGCTCACTCATGGTAACAGAACTTGGAGAGGTTCTTCATTGAAAGGTAAGCCAATTCGCGGTTGATTTGACGGCAGTTTGGTTGGTGTGGCTTCCCAGCTCTCAGCTGTCTAAACAACCTTCGCAGCCACCGTGCTCTCCAGGCCGTTCAACCCCGCTGTCTCAGAATTGTCCGTTTTATGAGGCTGGACACTTAATTCCCCGGACAGGGGAGCCTCATCTTTACAAACATCCTAATTTCCTGTGTTGATGATACACTGTGTTCTAACATTTCACCGGGCCACGCTTTGTGCCCACAGCCATTATAATTGAAAACAGAAATCACTGTAACGAAGAGAAGGAAGTGTGATACGTGAAATTAAATAGGAGTTGCTGGGTGATGGAAATGGGTGAGCCCTTGGTTGCTAACCTAAGGGCACAGGTTCTAGTCCACCCAGAGGTGCCTTGGGAGAAAGACCTGGCAATCGACTTCTGAAAAACTCAGCCACTGAAAACCCTGTGGAGCACAGTTCTACTGACACACGTGGGGGCGCCATGAGTCGGAGTCAACCTGATGGCAACTGGTTTTCAGAATCCCTGGGTAGTGCAAATGGTGAATGCGCTCGGCTGCCCACTGAAAGGCTGGAGGCTCGAGTCTGCCCAGAGGTGCCTCAGAAGGCCTGGCTAGCTGCTTTTGAAAAACCAGGCACTGAAAACCCTGTGGAGCACAGTTCTATTCCGCCATACGGGCTTGCTGTGAGCCGACTCGACTCGACGGCAAATGTTTTGTTTTTCAGTATTGAAAAGCAAAGGATATATTAGAGCCAGGTTTTGAAGAAGTGGGGGGACTATGTCCGATACCCACCCATCGCCATCAAGTCAATTCCGACTCATAGCGACCCTACAGGACAGAGTAGAACCGCCCATAGGGTTTCCAAGGAGCGCCTGGTGGATTCAAACTGCCGACCTTTTGGTTCGTAGCTGAGCGCTTAACCACTGTGCCACCGGGGTTCATCGTGTTTTGATTAACTGGGCGTGTTTGGTCATATTTCACATGCCCTGAAGCAAATTATTTTTGGGCCAACAGGGAATTTGGCTGAAATTTCCCTTGCGTTTCTTTGCTTATGGCTTCCGTGGGGGCAAGGCGTGGGTTTTGGAGGGTGCATTTCCATCTGGGAGATGAGTCATTTGCAGTCTGGATTGGCAGCGCGCCTACAACGTTTCAGGGGCTAGTTTAACACGGCCATACAGGCAGAGTCTTGGGTGGACTGGGGTGGGACGGGGATCAGTGTCAGTGTACACGGTCGGACACACAGCGCAGGTGTTGTGAGCTGTGATGTCAGCTGTGAAGAACAGAAGTCTCTGCCTAACAAATCGAGAGGGAAGACAACAGAGAAGAGTGAGTCGGTTTTGTCTTTTCTGGAGAAGAGAATCCACGTTCAGGGCCAACGGTTAATCGACTTGATGTCTAAGTTCCACACGGAATTCTGTTCTGTGTTCTATGGGCATCGTCACATGTGGAGTAATGCTAACACATTTACATTAAAATTTTAAAACAGCAGTAGAGTCTCTCCCTGGTCTGTGTCTGCGTACGTTAGGAGAATCAGAGAGATGTTTTGCATTTAAGAGAACAAAGGAGCATGGTTGCCTTTTTCCTACCATGAATTTATTAAATCTGTTTTCAGAATTGCTGAAGCACCCAGGTGGTGCAGACTGTGAATGCACTCGGCTTCTCACGGAAAGGTTGGAAGCTTGGGTCCACCCAGAGGTACATCGGAAGAAAGTCCTGGCAACCTACTTCCGAAAAATGAGCCATTGAAAAAACCGTGTGGAGTGCAGTTCTACTCTGACACGCAGGGGGGTGCGCCATGAGTTGGAGTCGACTTGACTGCAACTAGTTTTATAGGTATATATGGAGGCCTTGGGTGGTAAAAATATTAAACACTTGGCTTCTAACCAAAAGGCTGACGGTTCAAACCCACCCAGGGGCTGTTTGGGAGAAAGACCTGGCAATTCACTCCTGTAAAGACTGCAGCCTAGAAAACCCTATGTGGAAGTTCAACTCTGTCACATGGGGTTGCTATGAGTCAGAATCTACTCAACGGCAAAGGGTGTGGCATAGTTAATGCACTTGGCTGCTCACCAAAAGGTTGGCAATTCGAGCCCACCCAGAGGTACCTCGGAAGAAAGGCCTGGAGATCTACTTCCAAAAAATCAGCCATTGAAAACCCTGTGGAGCACAGTTCTACTCTGACACACATGGGGTGACTGAGTCAGAGGTGACTCAATGGCAACTGATTTAGGTGTGTCGTGTGTGTGGTTAGTGTGTGTGTGTGGTGCAAACGATTAAAGTGCTGGGCTGCTACCTGAAAGGTTGGAGGTTCAAGTCCACCCAGACGCACCTAGGAAGAAAGGCCTGGCCATCTACTTCCAAAAATCGGCCATTGAATACCATGTGGAGCAGAATTTCCATGGGGTCACTATGAGTCAGAATCAACTCAATGGCAACAGGTTTGGTTTGGATTGATCTATATATGTCATCTATCATCCATCAATCCATCCATCTATCTATTGATCATCTATCAGTCTATCATCTATCTAGCAATCAACTGTCTATATATCCATCTATCATCTATCAGTCCATCCATCTAACATGTATCTGTCTACTGATCAATCGATCATCATCCATCAATCCATCCATTTATCTATCATCTAACCATCCATCATCTATTATCCATCTATCTGTCAATCACCCATCTACCTACCTAGCTATCTGTCTGTGTCTGTCTATCATCTATCTATCTATATACCTGTCTGTCTATCATCTCTTATCTATCAGTCAGGGAGGCTGACAAGTCCCAAATCTGTGGGTCAGGCATCAGGCTGGAGGCTTCTCCTGACTCATATGGTTGCAGGGGCTGACTCATCCAAAATCAGCAGGTCAGATAGCAGGCTGATGGTTCACAAGGCTGTGGGTGCTGGGGAATCCCACAATCTGCAGGTCAGATGGCTGCTGCTGGTTCACAGGGCTGTGGGCACTGGGGAATCCCACAATCTGCAAGTTAGATTGCAGGCTGCTGGTTCACAGGGCTGTGGGCACCGGGGAATCCCACAATCTGCAGGTTAGATGGCAGGCTGCTGGTTCACGGGGCTGTGGGCACTGGGGAATCCCACAATCTGCAAGTTAGATGGCAGGCTGCTGGTTCACGGGGCTGTGGGTGCCAGGGAATCCCACAATCTGCAAGTTAGATGGCAGGCTGCTGGATCACAGGGCTGTGGGTGCCGGGGAATCCCACAATCTGCA